TAAAAGCTTCCAAAGAAGGACCTCCACCACACTCCGGGGCAGAGAGTTCCACTGCTGAATGGCTCTCACAGTCAGGAATTTCTTCCTCATGTTCAGATGGAATCTCCTTTCTTGTAGTTTGAAGCCATTGTTCCTGCGTCCTAGTCTCCAGGGAAGCAGAAAACAAGCTTGCTCCCTCCTCCCTGTGGCTTCCTCTCACATGTTTATACATGGCTATCATATCTCCTCTCAGCCTTCTCTTTTTCAGGCTAAACATGCCCAGCTCCTTAAGCCGCTCCTCATAGGGCTTGTTCTCCAGACCCTTGATCATTTTATCGCCCTCCTCTGGACACATTCCAGCTTGTCAATATCTCTCAGCGGTCCCTATTGATCTACTCACATTTGCATGTTTTCGAACTGCTAGGTTGGCAGAAGCTGGGGCTGACAGCGGAAGCTCATGCCGCTCCCTGGATTCGAACCTGCAACCTTTCGGTCAACAAGTTTAGCAGCTTGGTGGTTAACCTACTGCGCCATGGGGGCTCCCATAGACACATTAAAACCAGCTACTAAAACATGTCAACAATTGAAATCTATTCACTGAAATCACGTAATCCAAATCGTAGTCCAAGGCCGTTCTAGTTGTCATTGCACCATTCCACATTCACTTATTACATTGCAAGATTCCTATCCAAACACTTGATCCCACATCCACCTTTTTAGCTTTTTTAGACTTCATGAAATCCACAAAGTCCAGAGCATAGGCATAAATCCTTAAGCGTGAACTTCTCCAAGACAAAAACACTTCCAGGAACAAAGGCGAACTTACTTATTATTATTTATTTTAAGCATTTTTACTCCGCCCTTCTCAGCCCTAAGGAGACTCAGGGCGGAGCATAACATATAAACAGCAAATATTCAATGCCAGGACATAAATAGATTATACATATACATAAACATTAAAATCATTTATCTCGGCATTAAAAATCCAAACTTGAGAGCTAAACATAAACTTGATCTTATGACAATGCTGTCTGCTCTGAAGAGGCCAGGAAAACATCACTTAATTTAAGCTCAAACCTGACCAAACAGTCATGAGGTCATCCCTTTGGTACCTGGGTTTCAAGAACTGTTTCTCATCATCTTTCTGGCCTTCTAATTAACCTTTGCTTCACTCTCTCCAAGCTGAGGCCTAATCTCATATCATGGGCAACTCCCCATCTTCTGAAGGCTGAGAAGGCCATGAAGGCCAATTCTCAAGAGAAACATCCTCTATCTCTTCTGCAGCTCCCGTCCCTTCTCTCTGATCTATGGCCTGCATTTCTGTCTGTGTTTCAGCCTGATCACTCACAGACTCAGTGAAAAATCCATAATTCCCCTCATCCTCTGAGGCAGAATCCCCAGCATCCCTAGCATTTTGCTGCTGAGCCCCAACAGAGTCTTCGGCCAGATCTACACTGCCATATAATGCCGTTTGAACTGCACTGAACAGCATGACATGGGTCTAAATCAGGCATGGGAAAACTTGGGCCCTTCAGGTGTTTTGGACTTCAACTCCCACAATTCCTAACAGCCTGAGACCCTTTTCTTTGCCCCCCTCAACTGCTTTAAGTGGAAAAGAAAAGGGAAAAAGAAAGGGCCTGAGGCTGTTAGGAATGGTGGGAGTTGAAGTTAAAAACACCTGGAGGGAAGGCTGAAGTTTGCCCATGCCTGGTCTAAATGGACCTCTATGGTCAGTGTAGACCCATACAATGCAGTTCGGTGAAGTGTATTATAGAATAAATAGATAAATCCATGTTGACTATTAGCGATGGCCGCATTTGTTTCGAAGTGTTTGCAGACCACTTCCTTAACAATCTTTAAGGAAGACTTTTGCAGACTTTTATTGGAGTTTTGGAAAACTTTTTGAACTTTTGGAAACTTTTTCCTTTTCAAACCTCATGGACTTTCACTATGATTTATGGACTTTGGTGGGTGGGATGGGCTGATATGACTTCTTTCCCCCTCTTTATGAATGTATACCCTACGAAAGCCATATATCTGTATAAAATTTGAAATGTCAACTTTTCATGAACTTTAGCCAAAAAATGAGCCCAGGGGACTTCCTCTCCCCCCGTCGGCCAAAAAAGCTCCCAAACAAAAGGACTCAAGAGAAACTCTTGCATGAACAATAAGACAATGGGCATAATCCTTCAAACCTTGGAGTTTGCCCATTTGGAGTAGCTAGACTACTGATAGGATTCCTTTCCATGCATGTTTCCCAAAAGGGCTTTGTCTTTACTCTTCCTGATAGCCACTGTTTCCTCCCCACCTTTGATGATAACAGGAATGGAATTCTGTGAGGGAACTTCCTCTTTAAAAACTCTAAAATTACAACAGCACAACAACAGAGAGGAAACAAACAAGGACATCTAATCACCTCTCAACAAAAGTTTGCTCCAGGCACTGTCAGGCCATTATATGCTAATCAAGGTGGTCAGTTGAAACATTCACACCTAGCTCCAGCAGACAAGAGCCCTTTGTCCCACCCTGGTCATTCCACAGATATATAAACCCTTTTTCCTAGTTCCAACAGACCTCACTACTTCTGAGGATGCTTGCCATAGATGCAGGCGAAACATCAGGAGAGAATGCCTCTAGACCATGGCCATATAGCCTGAAAAAACCTACAACAACCCTTCCTCTTTAAGTTTTATTGCCCTGTGTTGACCATGTGGTCTCGGCCATTGTTCTCTTCTGCCTTTTCTTCCTTCCAGTGAGGACGCATTTTGCCTCTCTCTTTAGGCAAAATGTAGCTGCATGGATATTTGACATTTTACCCATTTACCTCTTAGAAGATGAGACTTATAAGTTAGTTAGTCCCAAGACCTTTTCTATCAAAATGTATTTCTTTTCCTTCAATAATTTTTTTGAGCCTAAAGTTCTGACTCTGCAACTCTGCGCCATCCTATGAAGGGAAAGCTTATTCTAAACATAGAATCATAGAATCAAAGAGTTAGAAGAGACCCCATGGGCCATCCAGTCCAACCCCATTCTGCCAAGAAGCAGGAATATTGCATTCAAATCACCCCTGACAGATGGCCATCCAGCCTCTGTTTAAAAGCTTCCAAAGAAGGAGCCTCCACCACACTCCGGGGCCGAGAGTTCCACTGCTGAATGGCTCTCACAGTCAGGAAGTTCTTCCTCATGTTCAGATGGAATCTCCTCTCTTGTAGTTTGAAGCCATTGTTCCGCGTCCTAGTCTCCAAGGACTAGTCCTCCTCCCTGTGGCTTCCTCTCACATATTTATACATGGCTATCATATCTCCTCTCAGCCTTCTCTTCTTCGGGCTAAACATGCCCAGCTCCTTAAGCCGCTCCTCATAGGGCTTGTTCTCCAGACCCTTGATCATTTTAGTCACCCTCCTCTGACACATTCCAGCTTGTCAATATCTCTCTTGAATTGTGGTGCCCAGAATTGGACACAATATTCCAGGTGTGGTCTAACCAAGCGGAATAGAGCATGGGGAGCATGACTTCCCTGGATCTAGACACTATGCTCCTATTAATGCAGGCCAAAATCCCATTGGCTTTTTTTGCCGCCACATCACATTCCTGGCTCATGTTTAACTTGTTGTCCACGAGGACTCCAAGATCTTTTTCATACGTCCTGCTCTCGAGCCAGGCCTCATCGTCCCCCATGCTGTATCTTTGCATTTCATTTTTTTCTGCCTAAGTGGAGTCTCTTGCATTTGTCACTGTTGAACTTCATTTTGTTAGTTTTGGCCCTTCATCTCTCTCATCTGTCAAGATTGTTTTGAATCCTGCTCCTGTCCTCTGGAGTCTTGGCTCTCCCTCCCCATTTGGTGTTGTCTGCAAACTTGATGATCCTGCCTTCTCACCCTTCATCTAAGCTTCACCACATGTAAGTTTCTGCTGGTTATGGTACTCTGATATATTTATGGTGGAATCACTCTGATTGAGGATTATTTTGAGCCTAACAGCTCAGATTCCCCAACAGCAGCCACCATCCTAAGTATAATGGTCAGTTATACACCTTTCTACTTCAGGGTTTTGTCCGGTTCCTTCACAGTTGTCCAGCCAAGTCCAACCTTCACTCTGATTCTACTGAAGCCAAGTGATGGAAAACCTTGAAATCAGTCAATGTTTACATGACTCATTTTGAATAATCTTAGAACCATTGAAGCTTAGAGGAGCATGGGACCCCCCCCCCCCCCAAGGCCATCCAATCCAATCACCATTTCGTCACAGAGGATGACACAACTCAAGCCCCCCTGACAGATGACCATCCAGCTTCCTGCAGAGAAAGAGACTTTACTGCAGACACAGGCAAACTTCAGCCCTCCCGGTGTTTTGGACTTCAACTCCCACAATTCCTAACAGCCTACCGGCTGTTAGGAATTGTGGGAGTTGAAGTCCAAAACACCTGGAGGGCCGAAGTGTGCCCGTGCCTGCTCTACTGGGTTTCCAGGTAGCCGATTCCACCATGAAATTATCTCTTTTCCTACAGTTTGAATAGACTGCTCTTTGTATTGTCAAAGGTTTTCATGGCTGGAATCACTGGGTTGCTGTAGGTTTTTTGGGCTATGTTCTAGGAGCATTTTCTCCTGACGTTTCGCCTGCATCCATGGCAAGCATGCTCAGAGTTTGTGAGGTCTTTGGTGAGCCCTTGAAGAGCATCCTTTGGGTTCGGCCCTCACAACGCAACCCCACCCTAGCCTTGCCTGGCCCACATTTACTAGCCTGTTTGCAAAAAAATATAATAGGCCTTTTTGCAATCAAGGTGAGCTCCATCTCCAGCATCTCCTTCCTTCGCCAAGCTTGTTAACTCTATCAAAAAAGATAAAAAAAGGTTTGTCTGGCACGACTTGTTTTTGAGCAACATGCTGACTATTAGTAAGCATGGCATTCCTTCCTAAGTGCTTACGGATTGCCTCGTCTCTAATGGTTTGCTCCAGATTCTTTCCTGGTCGGGATGTCAGGCTGATTAAGTAATTCTTTCGGAAGACGGGGACAACACTGACCTTCTCTTTCCGCTCTGCTGGGACTTCTCCTCTTCTCCAAGAATTCTCTGAAATGACTTCTTTCAACGCTCTTGGATGTGGTTCATCTGGTCCTGGGGACCTGAATCCGTTTAGATTAGCCAGATATTCCTGTTCTTCCCCTTTACCTCTTTTGTGCTGCATTTCCCCTTCAGCCTCCTCTGCTCCATCCTCCCTCAACTGAGCCCTGTGCTTACCCTTTGGGAGAAAGAAGACTGGGACAAAGAGCGTGTGGAGGAGTTCAGCCTTGTCTCGGTCTCTTCTTAGCATTTCGCCATCCCTTCTGTACCATTTCCTCGTTCTTCCTTTTGCTATGGATGTAACCTCAAAAGCCTTTTCTATTGTTTTAAACCTCTTTGAGAAGACTGAGCTCCTTCTTCACTTTGGATTTACTTCTTTTTTTCCTACACGTGCTGGTTTTCCTTTGAATCATAGAACAAGCTCTATGAGGAGCGGCTTAAAGAGCTGAGCATGTTTAGCCCTTAGAAGAATCATAGAATCATAGAATCAAAGAGTTGGAAAAGACCTCCTGGGCCATCCAGTCCAACCCCATTCTGCCAAGAAGCAGGAATATTGCATTCAAATCATCCCTGACAGATGGCCATCCAGGCTCTGATGAACCAGCCTGGACACAGCATATTATTTGAGAACACAGAAATGCTGGACCACACCAACAACCACCATCAAAGAGTTGGAAAAGACCTCCTGGGCCATCCAGTCCAACCCCATTCTGCCAAGAAGCAGGAATATTGCATTCAAATCACCCCTGACAGATGGCCATCCAGGCTCTGATGAACCAGCCTGGACACAGCATATTATTTGAGAACACAGAAATGCTGGACCACACCAACAACCACCATCAAAGAGTTGGAAAAGACCTCCTGGGCCATCCAGTCCAACCCCATTCTGCCAAGAAGCAGGAATATTGCATTCAAATCATCCCTGACAGATGGCCATCCAGGCTCTGATGAACCAGCCTGGACACAGCATATTATTTGAGAACACTAAATTATAGAATCATAGAATCAAAGAGTTGGAAAAGACCTCCTGGGCCATCCAGTCCAACCCCATTCTGCCAAGAAGCAGGAATATTGCATTCAAATCATCCCTGACAGATGGCCATCCAGGCTCTGATGAACCAGCCTGGACACAGCATATTATTTGAGAACACAGAAATGCTGGACCACACCAACAACCACCATCAAAGAGTTGGAAAAGACCTCCTGGGCCATCCAGTCCAACCCCATTCTGCCAAGAAGCAGGAATATTGCATTCAAATCATCCCTGACAGATGGCCATCCAGGCTCTGATGAACCAGCCTGGACACAGCATATTATTTGAGAACACAGAAATGCTGGACCACACCAACAACCACCATCAAAGAGTTGGAAAAGACCTCCTGGGCCATCCAGTCCAACCCCATTCTTCCAAGAAGCAGGAATATTGCATTCAAATCACCCCTGACAGATGGCCATCCAGGCTCTGATGAACCAGCCTGGACACAGCATATTATTTGAGAACACAGAAATGCTGGACCACACCAACAACCACCATCAAAGAGTTGGAAAAGACCTCCTGGGCCATCCAGTCCAACCCCATTCTGCCAAGAAGCAGGAATATTGCATTCAAATCATCCCTGACAGATGGCCATCCAGGCTCTGATGAACCAGCCTGGACACAGCATATTATTTGAGAACACAGAAATGCTGGACCACACCAACAACCACCATCAAAGAGTTGGAAAAGACCTCCTGGGCCATCCAGTCCAACCCCATTCTGCCAAGAAGCAGGAATATTGCATTCAAATCATCCCTGACAGATGGCCATCCAGGCTCTGATGAACCAGCCTGGACACAGCATATTATTTGAGAACACAGAAATGCTGGACCACACCAACAACCACCATCAAAGAGTTGGAAAAGACCTCCTGGGCCATCCAGTCCAACCCCATTCTGCCAAGAAGCAGGAATATTGCATTCAAATCACCCCTGACAGATGGCCATCCAGGCCTGATGAACCAACCTGGACACAGCATATTATTTGAGAACATAGAAATGCTGGATCACTTCAACAACCACCATGTCAGACTACACAGAGAAGCCATTGAAATCCACAAGCATGTGGACAATTTCAACAGAAAGGAGGAAACCATGAAAATGAACAAAATCTGGCTACCAGTATTAAAAAAAACTTTAAAATTACAACAGCAAAACAGCAGAGAGGAAACAACCAGGCACATCTTAACACCTCTCAACAAAAGATTTTCCCAGGCTCAGCCAGGCCTTCAAATGCTAATGAAAGTGGTCAGTTGAAACATTCACACCTAGCTCCAGCAGAGAAGAGCTCTTTGCCCCACCCCAGCCATTCCACAGATATATAAACCCATTGTCCTAATTCCGACAGACCTCACTACCTCTGAGGATGCTTGCCATAGATGCAGGCGAAACGTCAGGAGAAATGCCTCTAGAACATGGCCCTATAGCCCGAAAAAACCCACAAGAACCTAGTGATTCCAGCCATGAAAGCCTTCGACAATACATCAGCCTCTGTTTAAAAGCTTCCAAAGAAGGAGCCTCCACCACACTCCGGGGCAGAGAGTTCCACTGCTGAACGGCTCTCACAGTCAGGAAGTTCTTCCTCATGTTCAGATGGAATCTCTTGTAGTTTGAAGCCATTGTTCCGCGTCCTAGTCTCCAAGGAAGCAGAAAACAAGCTTGCTCCCTCCTCCCCGTGGCTTCCTCTCACATATTTATACATGGCTCTCATATCTCCTTCTCAGCCTTCTCTTTTTCAGGCTAAACATGCCCAGCTCCTTAAGCCACTCCTCATAGGGCTTGTTCTCCAGACCCCTGATCAGCTCCCTCCTCCCTGTGGCTTCCTCTCACATATTTATACATGGCTATCATATCTCCTCTCAGCCTTCTCTTCTTCAGGCTAAACATGCCCAGCTCCTTAAGCCGCTCCTCATAGGGCTTGTTCTCCAGACCCTTGATCATTTTAGTCGCCCTCCTCTAGACACATTCCAGCTTGTCAATATCTCCCTTCAATTGTGGTACCCAGAATTGGACACAATATTCCAAGTGTGGTCTAACCAAAGCGGAATAGAGCATGGGGAGCATGACTTCCCTAGATATAGTCACTATGCTCCTCTTGATGCAGGCCAAAATCCCATTGGCTTTTTTTGCCGCCACATCACATTCCTGGCTCATGTTTAACTTGTTGTCCATGAGGACTCCAAGATCTTTTTCACACGTACTGCTCTCAAGCCAGGCATTGTCCCCCATTCTGTATCTTTGCATTTTGTTTTTCTGCCTAAGTGGAGTATCTTGCACTTGTCACTGTTGTACTTCATTTTGTTAATCTTAGCCAATCATCTTTCTAATCTGTCAAGATCATTTTGAATCCTGCTCCTGTCCTCTGGAGTCTTGGCTCTCCCTCCCAATTTGGTGTCATCTGCAAACTTGGGGATCCTGCCTTCTAGCCCTTCATCTAAGTCATTAATAAAGTTCCTGAGCAGGACCGGGCCCAGGACGGAAGAACCCTGCTGATTGCACTCCGCTCGTCACTTCTTTCCAGGATGAAGAGGAAGCCTTGGGGAGAATCACCCTCTGGGTTCGTCTGCTTGACGAATTCCAGATCCACCTCACCGTAGTTTAGCCTCGCCACATTGGACTAGTTTCCTTGCCAGAAGGTCATGGGGGACCTTGTCAAAGAAGGCCTTCCTGAAATCCAGGTACGCTACATCCACGGCATTCCCCGCAGCTATCCAGCTTGTAGCTCTATCGAAAAAAGAGATCAGATGAGTCTGGCATGACTTGTTTTTGCCCTCCTCCAATCTGCTGGAACTTCTCCCGTTCTCCAAGAACTCTCAAAGATGGTTGCCAATGGTTCTGAGATGACTTCCGCTAGTTCCTTCAATACTCTTGGGTGTAGTTGATCTGGCCCTGGGGACTTGAACTCATTTAGAGCAGCCAGGTATTCCTGGATGACTTGTTTCCCAATTTGGGGTTGGATGTCCTCTAATCCCTCATCCACTCCATCTTGCTGAGGTTGAAGATGACTTTTTTTTGCACGAAGACCGAGGCAAAGAAGATATTAAGTAGTTCTGCCTTTTCTCTATCCCTTGTCAGCATTGCCCCATCTTCTCCTTGAAGAGGCCCTATCGCCTCCTTGTTTTTCCTTTTTCTACTGACATAAGAAAAGAAGCCCTTTTTATTGTTTTTAATGTCCCTGGCAAGCCTGAGCTCGTTTTGTGCTTTAGCCTTGCGGACCTTTTCCCTACAGGTGTTGACTATTTGTTTGAATTCTTCTTTGGTGATTTCTCCCTTTTTCCACTTCTTTCCGCCACACATGCTGGCTATTCCTTTGAATTCCTCTTTGGGGATTTCTCCCTTGCTACATTTCGTGTCTGTATACATTGGCTTTTTTAGCCACCACATCATGTTCACCTTCCTCCCCACAAATACTCCTAAGATCTATCGAACCAGGCATCATCCCCAATTCTGGGTTTCTATAAGTTTTTTGGGTTGTATGGCCATGTTCCAGAAGCATGCTCTCCTGACATTTTGCCTGCATCTATGGCAGGCATCCTCAGAGGTTGTGAGGACCTCACAACCTCTGAGGATGCTTGCCATAGATGCAGGCAGAATGTCAGGAGAGCATGCTTCTGGAACAGGGCCGTATAGCCTGAAAAACTTACAGCAACCCAGTGATTCCAGGGCCTTTTTTTGCACTTTCTTCTTGACCTTCTTCATTTCCAATTCCAAGTCTGTTCTCTTTCCTGCAAACACTGTGGCGTCATCTGCATATTCTGAATATTTAATATTCCTCCCCGTTTACGCCTCCACCAGGTCCTGCTTTCTGAATCATATGTTCTGCATGAAATGACACAGATGGGATGATAAAAGGCTGCTGTCCTTGCCCACAGGAAGCCACCCGCTGTCTCCGTATTCTGCTGAGTCCAGGTTGCGCACTGGGGCAATCAAAGGTTATGGCTCAGCGATTGCTACATAAGAATGACACATAAAAAAACACTAAAATTCAGAGTATGGCTCATTTGGCTGTGCTGGAACACACACCCAAAGCCTCCCAAAAGTTGTTCAAACCTGAAATAGGTTCACACTCCAAGATTCCACCTAAACATTAGGAAGAACCTCCTGCTGTTAAGGGATAGTCAGCAATGAAATATGCTGCTGCC